TAATTTTATATTGATTTGTATTAGATATTTTATTTAATAGATTATTAAAATGTACAGGTATTGTTTATTGAAAAAAATATATAAATTGCAAATATAACCCTCCCTTCAATTTTTAAAATTTATTTATTATTGGCGACGAAATAGATGTTATAGGTGACAAAATATTTAACATTTAGTGACGAAATATTTTGTCACCAAATACCAATAATAGGTGACAAAATAAATTTTCGTCACCAGGTACTTTTAGTGATGACAAATTGATGACGAACGTGGTGACGAAATTATTTCATCACAGATCAATTTGGTGACGAAAATTTCACTATTGGAGACGAAGTGATTTTGTCATTAAAGTACCATTTTGTTGTAGTGTACGAACTTGACCATTATTGCGACGGCGATAGATAGGATATTCATCTTGATCCATAGTAGTTGTTTCTGCGAACGCTTGAGGATATCTCTTAGTGCATTTACCATTTTCCATACATGGTGCTTGTGAATTTCTAACACCACATGGTCCATGTACCATACAACACTTGATAGTTTCAAAAAGCATAGGTTCATCTTTTGGATCTGGAAATTCTGCATAAACCAATTTGTCTACTTGAGCACATGTCTGAATTTTGTCTAGACCTTTAAAAAATAGAAGTGCATACATATGAGGAAGGCCTTGTTTTTGGAATTCAGTTGTAAAAACATGCGCAACTTTATTACCAAACACTCGGTTTGTTTCTATCTCCTTCATCAAGCACTTTCTCTTTAACTCAAAACACGGGCAATTAAATCAGGACGATCAATAGGTTTTTGGTGCGGTAAAAATGCCAAAGTAATTTTTGGCCAATTAGGATTTGCAGTCATGGTGATAAAAATGTCTGGATGTTGGTTGTATCGTGTGATAGCCATTAAATCTTGAAAGATTTCAAACATGTGTCTAGGACCTCCACGAAATGAAGATGAAAAAACAAACCTTTGACCAATTTGATTGGGTTGCAGGTCATTTGGATCAATATCTGTCAAATCTTGGTAAAGTTCAGCACGGATTTTCCCTTTGATTAAGCTTGTAGTAAGTCAACCTATTTTGTTTAGTTGCGGCCCAAGCATCTACCAAAAACTCTTGGAACAATTTTTCAGCTCTCAAAATTGTTGAATACTCTGTGGGTCGTTTAAATAAACGATAATTATAAAAATCCATTTGAGTAAGCCGGTCAGTTGAAGGCCGATCACGTTGAACATCCCACAGTTTCATCTCAGGTTCCTATCCAAGCTCACAATGTGGAAATAATAAAACATAATGTAATGGCAAATATGCTAGGTGACATTCATTAATTTGTATTAGCTCATTATTTCTTTGTAGATGTAAGATAACACCTCTCATTCCACTAACCTTGGTTCCATCACCTGGTATTACAACTGTAATCTCATCTGTAGTTGGTAGGTTATACTGTTATCGATTTGTTGATGAACTGTAGTGAATATGAGCAGGTAAATTTCGTCCTGTCAAGGTTAATTGATTTAAAATTGCATAAGTCTGCCGAAATTTAGCAATGAATGCATTAACCTGTAATAAACTATCTTGAATAGTTTTTAGAACATCTCTTCTTAATTGAGGATTTCTACGATTGCGAACTTCTAAAGCTGAATCAGGGTCATAAATGTACAATTGCACATAAGCTGCATCTTGCCCTGATTGTGGTAGTAGTGATTCTGTTCGATGTTGTAATTCCCCATGGATAGTGAATGATGTCGGGCTTCTTCTAGTAAGTACTCGTAGATCTAATGTAGCACCAAGACTTGTAAAAGCATTGGTTGCATTGTACACTCGAGTATAACGTCGAAACGATTTTGATTTATCGTTATTCCCATCATATAATGCTTGAAGAAGTGAAAGGGGGTGTACTAGGAAGAGGAAGCTTAACCTTTCCTTTTGAACAACATGTTCCAAATAGAGGACGGTTTGGAGATAATTTTACTAATTTTTCATCCATCTAATGTAATGCTGAACAGAAATGACATAATACATCCATCTTGCCAAGAGAATGACGACATGAATTTATATATGCTCGAGCACTAACCATTGGACTCATAGGCATATCCTCTAATTCCTCATCAATACATAGATCCTCTTGAAGGGAAGGAGTTGTAAGAGTAGACCTACAAATATTGGTTCTGTGTAAATTAAAATAGAATGGTAATAGTAGGAGTATGTATTTGAAGCATTAAATATAGTCTTTTACCAATTCCTTTGTGGAGCTAAAGATGTGCTTGGCATTGAGAACGAACATGTGGAAGGATGTGCAACCATTGTTCGTTTTTGCGCCGACCGGGTATTCTCAGTTGCCTTTGTTCCTAGTTCCAAGTAAGCACGACTACGATGACACGGTATTAAAGAAGTTTGTCTCGGTTGAATACATTCTCTTGATTTCTCCCGTTCTCGCTGTACACGTTGGGCCGATGTAGCTTTTCATATAACATTATTATTGTGTGCCTAAAATGTGAACATTATATGATTGATACCTAAAATACAAATATTATCGTATACTATTTTATTTCTTGATTCAATAATTTTGTTATTTTATTTATATTTTACTTTTTCTTCCTGCCTTGTGATAATTTTAAGAATATTTTTACATTTTCTTTGTCCTACTTCCTTTTTCATTTTGCTTCATTTTCCCTCTTCATGCCTTATGATATAACAATTTGTTTTTTTAATTATTGTTTTCTCTTTCTTCTTGCCTCATGATAATTTTAAGAAAATTAAAAATATTTTCTATGCCTATGTTCCTCTGTTCTTTTGCTTAGATGTTATAAAGTTTTCCTTGGAGTTGATAAAGGTTACAATTATTTTAGGAAATGTTAAAGAGAGCTAAAAATACATTGTTTTAGTGTACAGAAAACAAAGAGCACACAAAAAATATTGACAACACAGTTTACATTTTTAAAAATATACATGATCGATGTTCACTTTAACAATATGATTGGCTTTGTTTTAGTCGATAAATATTTTTTTTAAAATGTTGAATATATACCATTGGATATGCGTTTTCCTTTCCTTTAGACATTGCCTTGGCCTTTTCCTTTTCCTTTTCCTTTGCCTACCAAAAATAAATAAAATTTATTCAAAATACGAAAAAAGAATATGTATTTATCGAATTTATTAAGATTACGAAAATTTATTCAGAATACAATGTTGAACTTGATTTTTCTACTTACCTTAGAAATGTGGATAATATTAAGATTACACTCATCGCGAATAACAACACCGATATTCCTAGTCTCATGGAGGAATGGGCTTGCATGAGTAGGCCTACAAATATTTATTGTGTACAAATAAAATTTATAAAATAAAATCTTAACAATAAGAATATGTATTTATAGAATTAAATACAATGTTTTACCAATTCCTTTGTGAAGCTAAAGATGTGCTTGGCGAAGTAAGATGTGTAAACATTACTCCTTTTTGAGCCGATGAAGTATTAGTTGTGCTTGGTGGAATCAATTCTCTCGATCTCTCTCGTTCATGTCACAAACGTTGTCCCAATTGATATGCAAAGCTTGCCTTATCATTTCTTTCGCGTTCTCGCCGTGCACATTGAGCCAATGCCGCTTTCGATATAATATTACTGTTATGTGCCTAAAACATGAAGATTAATTTCATAAGATGCCTAAAATATGAATATTATCATCTACTGTTTTATACTTTACTATTCATTTTTCATTTCTATTAATTTACTTTATCTTAATACCCTTTTCTTATGATATTTTATAAAAAAAAAATTGAAAACCTTTTCATTCTGTATCCCCCCCCCCTTATTCCTTCACTATAGGAAATTACACTTTTGGCGACCAAATTTGGCAGCCAAAAGTTGTGGAATTGGCAACCAAAAATTATATTAGTCGGCAAAAGTATAAGATTTAGCTACTAATTTTGTTTAGTTGAGGTATATTGATTATTGGTAACTAAAAAAATTTAGTCGGTAAAAATGTAACAATTGGCGACTAAAAAAAAATTTAGTTGCTAAAAATACCACAATTGACGACTAAAAAATATTTTAGTCACTGTATAGTTAGTTTTTGCTACTAAAATTATTTAGTCACCGAATGAAAAATAAAAATTTACTTTTTATCTTTTGCGACCAAAAGTTTGGTCACCAAAAATTTATTTTCAGCGAGTAAAAAATATTTTAGTCGCCAAAGAATTAAAAAATTACCCAATAGGCGACTAAAAAAAATTTGGTCCCTAAATGTACATTCTTTAGCTATTAAAAATATTTTAGTTGGTATTAATTTACTTTTAGTAGCTAAATTTTAGTCGGCAATTGTAAATTATTTAGTCACCGAATGAAAAATAAAAATTTACTTTTTATCTTTTGCGACCAAAAGTTTGGTCACCAAAAATTTATTTTCAGCGAGTAAAAAATATTTTAGTCGCCAAAGAACTAAAAAATTACCCAATAGGCGACTAAAAAAAAATTGGTCCCTAAATGTACATTCTTTAGCTATTAAAAATATGTTAGTTGGTATTAATTTACTTTTAGTAACTAAATTTTAGTCGGCAATTGTAATGAAAAATTTAAAAAATTGGACTTTACCTTTTGGAGGGAAAATTAATTGGCTACTAAAGTATTTAGTTAGAAAAAAAGCCTTTATTTGTTATTGGCGACTAAAATTGTTAGTCAAGAAAGAAAATAAACTAGGGTTTAAAAAACCAAGTGTTAACTTGGAAAGCTGTAAGCCCATAGGGCATTTGCTTTTGTCGTTAACATGTAATACTTTTGTAATGAAACTCTGTTGTAATAAAGATTGTGGTTATCTCATATGTCAATGAATGTCTTATTTGATGGGTTTAATGTTATTTTTTTGAGGGCGTTACATGGACTTTACCTTTTGGAGGGAAAATTAATTGGCTACTAAAGTATTTAGTTGGAAAAAAAGCCTTTATTTGTTATTGGCGACTAAAATTGTTAGCCAAGAAAGAAAATAAACTAGGGTTTAAAAAATACACTCCCATACGCTCTAACTCGCTCATACATCTGTCAGTCTCTCACTCTGTGACTCTCTCTTTCTCTCTCATGCCTTTGCTCTCTCTCTCTCTCTCTCTCGCTTTTGTCTCCATCGTCGTCGGGTATAGGAACATCACTGCCATCACACACGAGCACCACCGTCAATCCACCATTGAAGCATTACCCAGGTATGTCCTCTCTATTTTGCCCTCTCTCTGTCTTTCAATCTCTCTTCCCCTAATTTCAGCCTCTAGGGTTTTCTTCTTCCATTTGCATACCTTAACACAAACCCAACCCCAAATCGACCCACCCATCACACAAACCAACCCCTAATTTCAGCCTCTAATTTCAGTCTCTCTAACTCTCTTATACGTCTGTTTGTTCTCTCTGTTTTGTTTGTTGCCAATTTTTTTGTGTTGAGGGATTATTGGCATTACGGATAGAATTCATGGATTTTTGATAATGAAAAATGGGAACTGTTGAATCTCTAGGTAATCAATGTGAAGCCATTTTGGACAGCCTGAGGGCATTTGTTTTGATATTCATGTGGGGTTTTTTTTTTGGGGGGCAAAATTTATAATGTGAGTGGTCTTTGAGATTGTACTTAAATTTTTAAGCTACTTTTAAAAGATTGGGGTTTGTGAGGGGACGATTAGAAATTTCAGTAGTAGCATTGTAGATATTGGAGAAACCTTCAAATTCTAGTTTCAAAACTTGTTTTAGACATGAAGTTGGGGTTATTTTCCTTGTTATTGGGGGTCATGGGGAATAATAAGGTGCAAAGCAAATTCCATAGTTGTTGGATTTTCTTTACTGCATAAAACCTTGCATTCTTTAGGGAAGGGGAATGTCGACAGTAGAGAAAGGGTGCATGTCATTATGAGGGGGGAGGGTTTTATCGAGGCAATGTTTGCTTTTACTGAATAGTTCTCAAATGGATATGAACTTTGATTTGTCCCCTACAAATATCTCCCACATGTGTAGTACGATTTTTGCTTGGATTCCAATAGGACAACAATAGTTATTCACTTGTCTAACAGAAGGTTGTAGTGAATTGGATTCATGGTTGTTGATTTGTTCTTTTCATACATTTGTTCTTTCCCATGAATTTGTTTTTCTTGTTACATCTTTCGGCCTCCAACTGTTTGATGCAATGCCCGAATCAAAAAATTTATCTTTCTTTGCTCATCTTCTTCTTCTACTTCTTTTGTTGTATTCTGAAGTGACATATTGGTTTGGGTTTTAATATTTAATAAATTTATTTGTTATTCCTCTAGACCCAAGAAAGAATATCGTGAAACAAGAGAGAATAACTCATACACATTGATTGTGTATTTATTTGCATGTATGGCTGCTAAAATGTGATTGTAAAGCAAAGTTCTGATCATTTTCTTCCACTTCTGTCTGAAGAAAAAAAGAAAGAAAAAAAGAGCAGATTAATATGAGAACAACTCATACACAGAGAGAAATATTCTTAGGATTTTACCTGATGCTTGATATACAAATTTGTATGTGAAGAATTTGGATCTAGATGTTACAAAAGAACTTTTTAAGGAGAAGTTCTCCGAGTTTGGTTGTCACGCAAGATGATAAACAACTACCAACATCCACGGACACATGTCCGGATCACTGTACAACAAGGGTAAACCCGGGATCGCTATATTGGTAAAATTCTCAGCTTAATTATCTCAGAGGATGAGTATGGGGCCTCTACAGGTTTTGGATTTATGAATTTTGACAACACAAATGACGCCAAGATTGCAATAGGAGCTATGAATGGAACACAACTTGATAGGTTATGTTTTCTTAATGAAATTAATTTGCTTAAAAGATCAGAGTTACTCAGTTTTCAATGGCATGTTTTAAGTAGGTTCCAAGGTTATCTATGTTGCTAGAGCACATAAAAAAGAATAACGCGAGCAGATTTTATGTTGCCAGTTTGAGGAGAAACGAAAGGAGCAAATAATGAAATACCAAGTATCCTTGCAGCTTATTTCTCTCATTGGGAGGGATTATGTACTTTTATTTTAATTTTTCTTTTGGGGGTAAGATTTTATTGTCCACTTTTTAATTGTAGGGTTCAAATGTCTATGTCAAGAATTTTGATGATGATGTCATTGATGACGAGTTACGAGAACACTTCAGCCAGTGTGGCACGATCACCTCTGCAAAACTAATGCGAGATGAAAAAGGAACTAGCAGGTGGTTTGGGTTTGTCTGCTTCTCAACACCTGAGGAGGCCAATAAAGCTGTGAACAATTTTCATGGTGAGTACTATGAATATATAAGCTTATGGATGTGATGTAGATGTCGTTGAATTAAGATGCATTAACATTCTTCGAGTTGGTCATGCAAATTGGTTGATATGTTTTGATCTGAAAGAAGTTATTATGCTAATGTTTAATTTTATATAATGGAATAATATAAATTGCCATTTGAATAGTATACATGACTGTGGATAATGGAATAGTGTATCATTAACACAACTAGGTTTTCGTTCCTAATTTCGAATTTGATAACAATTTAATCTTTTTATTTTGGAAAAGAAGGATTCCTTAGAAGAAAATTTCTCTCTGTGTATGAGTAGAAAATTCCTTGAAAGTTAAGATTTAGTGTACCCTCGTTATGATTTTACAAGTGAAATGGTTGTTGGCTTAGATCATTATTGGCTTTAGTTCAATAAATTTGCTATAATATGATGCATATTTGTGTGATCTATCAATGATGTATTCTCATTTACTAAATAGTCAATACTTGAAGAAAATCTATTTGCATCTTTTTTGATGTTATGGGGGGCGAAAATGCGAAACAACCCCCTAACCACTGATTTGACTTTACGGGAAGCTTCCCGGTGCCAAATGTGACCTGTAGGGATAGACGATACGTAAGTAGAACACGTAGGTTGGGAGATAGAGTTGAAAATGTCATAAAATTAGCTGAAAACAACGTTTTAGTCGCCAAAAATGGAAAAATACTTGGATGGTTACCATGTGATGCTTTGTTTTCATTAGAGTAATCGGTAATTTATACATTTAGGAGGGTAGAATAAGTTAGTGCACTTCAGAGCTGGGAAATGACTAGAGCTAGGATTTAAGGTGATACATGTTGCTGAAATTTCATAAAATTTATTGTTGGTATTTATGAACCCAATTTTATATGGATGGTTGATGTTTAGAAAAAAAGCTTGTCGGGTTAAGATCAGTGAATTTGGTGATTTAGAATTTTTTTTTTTATTTTTAAAATACAACCTTCACAATCTCTTTAAAAATTCAATGAGCCCTCAAAATTTGACTCCGTTCAATTTGGATGATGACACCAAATAGTGTTAGGTTTTTATTCTTGGTAATCTCGTTTGACAAAACTCCTTTCAGTTGTACTTTTATTCGCTCTTTTATTTTAGTGAGGCTGTGAGTTTTAGATGCGAATCCAACCTGAATTGTGCCTTGCAGAGAAGTTTCAGAAGATAATTCTTTCATGTTTGCCACTTTGCTGACTATGTCGGGGATCAAGCCGCCCAGTCAGTTTGCGGGGGTCCAGGGGGTAATGACCCTTGGCGGGTTCAGGGCAGCGCTCCAGAAGCAAAATGCAAAAATGCATTCGAAGTTAAATGTCCGCTCGAGCAGACATTCCTCCGCTCGAGTGGAGAATCCTTGGTTCTAGAAGTTTGATCGCCTGCAAAAATACTGGGAGATGTTTTTTCCCGCTCGAGCAGAATTTCCTACGCTCGAGCGTCGATCTGCTCGAGCGGCCATTCTGATGCTCGAGCGGAGATCGCGGAACAGATTGCTATAAATATGTGTTTTAGTTAGATTTTAGGGTTACGCTTCCAGATCTTCTTCTTGGATATTAGGGTTTATATCTAGGGCTATTTTGCTAGTTTTCTTTGATGTTTGATTGAGTATTCAACTCATGGTTTAAGAAGTATACATCAAAGGATTGTTTGTTTATTCTATACAAAAGAGAGAGTTATTCTTCGGTGGATTCTGGAGAATTCGAGCCTGAAGCTTTGGTGGATTCTAGAGTGGCTCATCATCGTGATTTGACATCGACGTTGTGGATTCAATGTTGGGCAAGACAATTCCGAGGTGAAGACGGGGTTGGAAGAGGCACATAGGGGTTGGTTCAATTTGGGTGTGGATTCGCTAGATAATTGAGAGTATACCTATGTAATTCCTTTATGTCTTTTTAGTAGATTGTTTTGTGGCTTTTGCCGGTGGTTTTTTTATCACAATTGGAGGCGCTCCAATTGTGATTTTTCCACGTAAAATCGTTGTGTTGATTTGTCTTTGATTGTTTGATTGGGATTGTTATTTACTGATTAAAATTGATACATAATTACAAATCAATATCTAGGGGATTTCTAGATTTTTTAATTGGTATTAGAGTAGGTCACTCTATTTTTTGTAAAAATCTATTAGAGCGAGATCTTGTTTGATTTGTGATAATGGATTCAATTCATGAGGGAAATTCTATGGTTTGACCACCTCTACTTGATGGATCCAATTATTCTTTTTGGAAAGCTCGAATGAGATCGTTTTTAAAATCTATTGATGAAAAAGTTCGACAATTTGTCATGTATGGGTGGAACGAACTGACGATTACCGTTGATGGAGTAATTTTCCCTAAACCAATTGATAAGTGGAACACAATTGATTACCAAAATAGTAGCTAGAATAGTAAAGCTATCAATTCTCTTTTTTGCGCCGTCACACCTGAAGAGTTTAGTCCTATTTGCAATTGTGAAGTCGCAAAAGAGGCTTGGGATATCTTACAAACTATTCATGAGGACACTCATTCTGTTAAACACTCAAAACTTCCAAGGCTCACGTCTAGTTTCGAAAACCTTTCAATGAAAGATAGTGAGACCTTTAATGAATTTTATGCGAAGTTGAGTGATATTGTAAATTCCAGCTTCAATTTAAGTGAAAAAATACTGGAATCCAAGATTGTAGGAAAAAATTTGAGGTCCTTGCCCGATTGGTTCAAACCAAAAGTTACGGCTATTGAGGAGGCTTAAGATGTTGACAACCTCAAGCTAGATCATTTGGTTGGAAATCTCCAAACTTATGAGGCACATAGGAATTTCAAAAAGAAACAAAAAGATGCTATTGATTTTAGTAGTGCTCATAGAGTTGGAGTGGATTCTGATGAGGATTGTGAGATAGATTCTAAGATTACAGATGCTTTTGTAAAACAATTTAAAAAATCTTTTCTGAAGAAGAATCCTAATCTTTTGGAATCTACTCATACTTATAAATCCAAAGGCAAAGATAAACTCAAAATTAATTCTATAGTTAAGAAGGAGAAAGGAAAGATACAAGGGAACTCTGAAAGAGTCAAATGTTATGAATGCCAAGGATTTGGCCACTTTGCTCAAGAATGCCCCACTTATTTGAGGAAGAAGAAAGCCCCCACTATTACTTTGGATGATGAATCAGAATCTGATAAAGATGAAGTGACAACGAAGATCAAGGCGAAGAGGGACACAAACAATTCCTTGCTTTCATGGCGGCTTCCGAAACTGAAGGACAAATAGAGTATTCGTAGAGGCGGTTGAGAATGACACTGATGATGAATCTTCAACTAGTGATGATGAAGAGCTTCAGCAAGTTTATGAAAAATTGTATAAGGAATCTCTTAATTTATCCAAATTAAATGACAAACTCACTATGAAACTCAAAGCATGTGAAAGTGAGAATGTCAAACTAAAGGAAGAGATTTCCGAGGCTAGGAATGATGCCATCAATATATCTAATGATCGACAAGTCATTTGTGAAAAACTCTTGACTTGTGAGACAGAGAGAAATGAGCTACAACAAATCTATGCAACATATGAAGAAAAGATTGAAACTCTCGAGATGTCTCAAGGTGCTTTAAAAGAGCTAATCATCAAGAAAGAGGAAGAGCTCAAGTGTGCTATGGCACCCATTGATCTTTGGAATAAAGGATCAAAGACTTTGGACAATATCATTGGGTCTTAACAAATTTGTTCTGACAAGAGTGGCACTGGCTTTGGTGGCAAGAAAGAGCAAAAACAGAGTGCATCAACATCTCATGATATAAGAACTCAAGGGCAGGGGGAGCACAAGATTCAACGAAAGGAAAGACTTCTCAATCTTCCTAGAGTTGGTAAGGTCAAATAAAAGAAGGTACACCCTATTCACCCTATTTTTATTTGTTATCATTGTGATATGCATGGTCATATTCACCCTTATTGTTATGAGTTGCATGGGAGAGTGTCTCATAGAGATGAAAGAAATTCTAACATCTCGTGGGGGTAAGAGACACTTCATTGGTGGTAATGAGGTTAAGGGTCATATTAGACCTCTTTATTTTGATTTTCTTGAGACCAAACATGAACAGAGGTTGTGTTTTCCTAGACCTAGGAAAAGGAAGCTGGAAACCATGTCAAGGCGGGTTCTCATTGAAGGGGAAGGAAACCACAATGTCAAGACACCATCCAAGAACTGCCATTCTCACAACTTTTTTCATACTAAAGCGGTTTGGGTGAAAAAACTTGACTTGTGTTAATTTGTTTTAGTTTTTGGGTTTCTGTTTTGTTTTTTTTCTTTTTGGGTCATTTAGGGTCTGTTTGATAATCATTTCGTTTTTAATTTTCAGTTTATATTTACAAAAATTTTAAAAACCTGTTATAAAAAATTGTTTGATACTTTTTTTGGTTTATAAATGGTTGTCTCAGTTTATAAATTTGAGGAAAAAACGTAAACTCAAAAAATGAGTTTACGTTTTCAGTTTTCAATTAATTTTTTTTTCATTTAATTTTTTTTCAATAATTTTTTTATTAATTTTTTTGCAAATAATTTTTTTTCAATTATATTTTTTATTTTTTTTTCAATTATAATGTGTGTGATCTCATTGTCATAAATAATAAAAATAAATATAAATTTTTTAGGCCTGAAGAAACATATTTTTTAGTTTATGTTTTTAAATTTTTTTAAACATTTTGTTCAAACCAAACGCATTTATAATTTATGTTTTTCTACAATAAACAAAAGCCAGTTTATAAAATTTTTGTAAACATAAACCAAAAACGTAAACGTTACCAAACGCTACCTTAATGTGTGGTATCATTTAGTGTGTCCTTGTTCATTTTATGTCTTGCTTTATTTTAGAGATTTTTTTATTTTTTTAATATGGTTTTGCAAGCTTGAAATTTTTGAGAAGTCCTTGGTACATATTGGACTTGACGAGAATATCCATTACATGTTAATATGTGTGTTCTTTCTGTGGTCATTACTCATTTCAGAGTGTGTGTTCTTTGATTAGCATGTCTCATTTTGTACACACTCTTGGATTAGTAAATATCGGAGTCTTCCGCCTTAGTGATCATTTTTCTCTATGGACTTCTGGCATTGTATCTTTTGCTTTTCTAGAGGGATTGACCTATACCAGCACATCATGGGTGATGTTGTGTCTCTTAACCACCTTCCATCTTTTTGTATCTCCACGTCTTTCTCCTCTGTTCTTTGTAGTCCAGGCATGAGGAAAAGGCTACATTAGAGTCACCAACCAAGCTATCTTTATTATATCCATGCTTCTCTGGATCGGTTTCCATCCTCTTGAGCGTGTCAGCTGCCAATGAGTGTGCAGAAGAAAGAAAAAAACTGTGCAAAAGAAAGAAAAGAAAAAATGTGCAAAAGAAAGAGAAGTAAAAAATGTGAAAAAAAAGAAAGGATTCATTGATTGAGGGGGAGCCTCCTCTTTTACTCACCAAATACCCCTTGATTCCTAGTGGTTTGACTTTCCGTAGTTGTGCTTAGAGTCTCTTGCCAGAGGTCCAGCTATCAGATCACTACTAGGATTTGAATCTAGTGTTTGTCGAACTCCATGAGCCACACACACTCTTTTATTATGGGATCTATGCTTTTCACATAATGCATCACTTTCTTTTATGAGGAATCTTATAGAGGCTGTGCACATTGTGTTTTCAAGTAATTGTGTTTTTTGGATAATCTTGTGTGTTTTAAGTTACAAATCTGAAATTCTTTGCTTGCTTCACCATATTATTTTTTTGTTGTTTTCTTCTTTTCATTGTTGTCGGTGTTTGTGGTTGCTTTGAGTGAGGGGGAGTTTGGTCTATCATTGCAAAGGGTTTTTTAGCATGAACTTCCATTGACTGGTTTGGTATGGGAGTTTGGCCTTAGTTGGTATGCATGTTGCTTTGCATTGCTTCTTTATTGTTTCCTTCTTGCATACTACTGCTAATTACATCATCTTGTCCTTGCTTGTGTGGTTTATGCTCTTGATTTCATTGATTGAGCTTCCTTTGACAATTCATGACAAAAAAGGGGGAGAACTTTGAGTCATAGTCAAAATGGGTTTTTGAGAGTGTTTGCATGTTTCATAGGGTTTTCATCTATTCATGCTAAATGTTCTAAAATCGTAGTCAAAATGGGTTTTTGAGCGCGTTTGCATGTTTCTTAGGGTTTTCATCTATTCATGCTACATGTTATTAAAATCTCCAAGTCGCATCTATTCATGTTTTTCATCTCATGCTTCAAGATAATCTAGTCATATGTCTATTGCTTTTTCATATACTCTTGTGGCACTAATAGTTATTTTGTAGATCATGACCTTGAGAAAGAAGTTTGCTTTTGTTGGCTGTAATGGGTTGGGGGTGTTTAGGATTTTATTTGTTAGGTGTGTTTTGTCACGGCATTACCAAAAGGGGAGATTGTTAGGTTTTTATTCTTGGCAATCCTGTTTGACAAAACTCCTTTCAGTTGTACTTTTATTCTTTCTTTTATTTCAGTGAGGCTATAAGTTTTAGATGTGAATCCAACTTGAATTGTGCCTTACAGAGAAATTTCAGAAGATAATTCTTTCATGTTTGCCACTTCACTGACTATGTCGGGGATCGAGCTTCCTGATCAGCTCGCGGGAGTCCAGGGGGCAGCGCCTCTTGACGAGTTTGGGGCAGCGCCAAGGCGGGGTTGAGGGGCAGCGCCCCGAAGCAAAATGCAAAAATGCATTCGAAGTTACTTGTCTGCTTGGGCAGACATTCCTCTGCTCGAACAGAGAATCCTTGGTTCCAGAAGTTTGATTGCCTTCAAAAATACTGGGAGATGTTTTTTCCCGCTTGAGGGAAATTTCCTGCGCTTGAGCGTCGATTCGCTCAAGTGGCCATTCTGGCGCTCGAGCGGAGATCGCGGAACAAATTGCTATAAATATATGTTTTAGTCAGATTTTAGGGTTACGCTTCCAGATCTTCTTCTTGGATATTAGGGTTTATATCTGGGGCTATTTTGCTAGTTTTCTTTGATGTTTGATTGAGTATTCAATTCATGGTTTAAGAAGTATACATCAAAGGATTGTTTGTTTATTCTATACAAAAGAGAGAGTTGTTCTTCAGTAAATTCTGGAGAATTCGAGCCTGAAGCTTTGGTGGATTCTGGAGTAGCTCATCGTCGTGATTCGACATCGGTGTTGTGGATTCAACGTTGGGCAAGACAATTTCGAGGTAAAGACAGGGCTGGAAGAGGCACATAGGGGTTGGTTCAATTTGGGCATGAATTCGCTAGGTAATTGAGAGTATACTTGTGTAATTCCTTTATGTCTTTTTAGTGGATTGTTTTGTGGTTTTTGCCCGTGATTTTTTTATCACAATTGGAGGCGCTCCAATTGTGATTTTTTCACATAAAATCCTTATGTTGATTTGTCTTTGATTGTTTGATTGAGATTTCTATTTACTAATTAAAATTGATACATAATCACAAATCAATATTTAGGGGATTTTTAGATTTTTCAAACAGTTTCAAACTCGCACCTCACCTGCACACATACATGTATATATTGTCAAATTGTTAGTTAATGTAGAATGAAACATGAAACGCTTTGTCCCCATAGGCAAAGCCTTGTTCATATCAATTACAATAGATCTACTATGACAAAAGCTAGAAAATGTTTTGGATGACAAATGGATTCCCAGTAAACTATAGTTTGGCCATGGCAAGTGAGATTTTGTAAATCTTTTTCCTTGATATTTGGTTGATAATTATTATATTGATGAGGACTCTGATAATTAATTGTATGGACCGTCTAATATGGTTAATTGTGACCATGTCTTTTATTTTTAGTGATATGAAGTTTGAGAATGCTTCATCAATTTAATTTCATTGCTATAGCCTATGCTTTTCCTGATATGCTTTATTACTTACATGACATTCATTTTTTCTTGCATTTCGTAAACACCAATAAAACACTTCTTTTTTATTTTTTAAAGTGAAACACCAATATTTTTGGTGTAAAATATTATAACCAGTAATACTTGTAAAATATTACTGGTTGCCTAAGATATGCATTTGAGTTTTCAAAATTTTTATTTAATATTTATTTGAGTATGCAAAAAATAATGATTAATTTGAAAAGATTACTTAATTTTGAGTTTTATATGTTTTTTTATAATTTTAAATTGGCCAATACTAATGATTATTATTATTTTTTTTGCAAATGGTTTTTGACGTACAATATAGTTTTTAGGGCGGTACAGATTAAATTTTTGGTGTGATACAGGTTTCCTTTTGGATATTAAATTTGGTTAATCCTCTATTAAATTTTTGGTATGGAATTAAATTGTTGAAGTTGGATTATACTTGGTTCATATGGAATTTGAATTACATTTAGAATTGGATGTTCAATATGAATTTTTTGGATGGTTGGAAGTGAAATGTGTGCACGTTGTCGAATGGTTGATAATATATTCAGTATTGATGGATTATATTGTTTATACAGGATACAGGTTGCACTAATAATGGATATAGGTAGTTCAGAAATTACAAAAAAATTAATATAGTATTTGGCAACTAAATATGTTGGTAGCCAAAAATGTAAACAAATGTTTTGGTGACTAATAATTTAGTAGCAACAAAGAACCAAATGGCTTTTTGTGACCAAATCGTTAGTAGCTAAAACAAATCAGAATGAGGGCAAGAAACTATTGTCGACTAAATATTTTAGTCATGAAAAACACGGCATCCTTTGGCGACTAAAATGTTTGGTGGTAAAAAATAATGAAATGAAAATTAAGAGGCTTTTGGCGACTAAAGTCTGTAGTCGGTAAAAGTAACAACGACCAAACTATTTTGTCGCTAAATGTATGTATTCTATTGGAAACTAAAACTTTAGTCTCTAATAGTTGAATTTAGTTTATGTTAGAACTTTCAACGACTAATATTTTAGTTGGCAAAAGATAACCTTTGCTGACTAATGAAAGTTTAGTAGCCAAACGTTTACTTTCGGCGACCAATAATTTAGTCGTCAAAAGATCACCTTTCCCGACTAACCAAAGTTTAGTAGCCAAACATTCACTTTCGGCGACTAATGTTTTAGTCGCCAAAAGATAACCTTTGCCGAGAAAGTTTTAGTAGCCAAATGTTTCACTTTTGGCGACCAAAGATAGTTTAGTCGCTAATACTATCGCCGACAAGGTATAGGCGACGACCTTGGCGACAAAAAAATTTAGTTGCTAGTTAGTTTCGGCGACCAAAAATGGGACTTTTGGCAACCAATATTTTAGTCGCCAAAAGCGTCATTTCCTGTAGTGCTTTTTTGTTATATTCCTTTTTTCTTCTCTTGTACATGTTCATGCCAATGGCAAAAAGCCAAAAAAGAATAATAATAATTTAAAACATATATAATGTTTTTTTACAAAATGCCATTTTAGCATGCTTCAAAAAAAAACATTTCACAAATTTCCATCCATCTGTAAATTATAAGAAAAGAGCATTTTGTTATAACGAAATTAGATAAAAAATAATGAAAAGAAAAGAAAATTGACTTTTGCTTATAAGAAAAGTGTTTTTTTTTCAAATAAATAAAAAAGAAAACAACTTACGTGACCAAAAATAGTAATGTTGTCCATAATTAGCGGTTGAAAGTCAATGGTGTCTCAACCTGAAAGGGTCTGGTTATGTAATTTGACAAAGATAACTGTAAGAAGGTAGAATGAGATTTAATAATTGCCATAAAGAAAAATTAATCACTACAAAATTAACAACCTCCTAACATATTTTAGTCAAACTTACTTTAAGAAGTTTGTCTGTACATGAATATCACAGATGGAGAAATTGAACTACTACAGGATAAAAGAAAAATTATAATTTTTTTATGTCTTCAATATACATTAAAAAGGATAGAAGAAAAATTAAAGACTCTCATAGAAATCTTCATAATTTTTCTCTATTGGCCAAAATGTAGAACTATTGCAATACATGACTTTGTAGTTGATTCTATATAGTAATTTTGCATTGATAACGGTTAATTCTTATGGATTGTATTGTCCACTTTTCTTACTAACAACTAAGTAAATTATAAAAAAAATATAAATTGTACTACTTATGAATAAAATTTTAGCAAAACTTAATCGCAGAAATTTAATTTCTAATTTTGCATTTTAAAATGTGAAAAAAAAAGAAGTAAAAAACTACAATAAAAATTTATAAAAGGGCTCACCACATTGTAATTGGATAATTACAAATGCCTTTTTCAATACACATTGTAACGCCCTCAAAATAATAACATAAAACCCATCCAATAAGGCATTCATTGACATATTGAATAAAATTTTAGCAAAACTTAATCGCAGAAATTTAATTTCTAATTTTGCATTTTAAAATGTGAAAAAAAAAGAAGTAAAAAACTACAATAAAAATTTATAAAAGGGCTCACCACATTGTAATTGGATAATTACAAATGCCTTTTTCAATACACATCATAAAAAATTATACTACATAATAGCTTATTTACTCCAAGGAGTAACACTCTCATAAAAATCATAAAAAAATTATTAAAACAAAATTTTAAAATAAGTTTAAGTTTTTTCAAAAGTCTTGATAAACATCTAAAAAGTCTTTTTTTTTTTTTTGAAAAATTCCAAAAATAAAATTTAAAAAGCTAAATAAATTGGACTCTTTTTAGAGAGAGAGAAACCTAAACATTTTAAAATAGCAGTTCAATAAAAAATCAAATTAAAAATAGTTCACTAAAAGCAAAAAAAGAAAAAGAAAAAAGGGTGATTAAATAGAAAGAGTTAACTTTTTAATGTTCCATTTTTCTTTCAATCAACAAATTCCCTTCAAATCCTAAATCCAAATACAGCCTAAGAGAGATGGAGAAAAAAAAAAAAAAAACCTATCATATTCATACTTCAAAATTAAACTGTAATAAAATCTTTGTAAAAAAAAAAAAAAAAGGAATAGCTATTTAGGCCAAAAAGTTAGACCTACTTTATAGGTCCAGTGATATGCCAAGAAAAGGCCTGATTGATAATTAAACATTATCTAATTATCAACCAATCTTCTTCTTGACTTATCACTAGGTCTATAAAGTGGGTATAAAAAATGAACTTGCATATCATTATTAAAAAAAACAAAGACATAAGTCTTCACATAATTTATCATACATTCCTACTATTTAAAAAAAAAAAGTATTCTCTAGATATTTAACAGCTATATATACCAAGATATATAACTATACACACTATATTAGATTTCTTTCTAAACCAAACATTAAAAGCTTAACGTTTAATCTAATTATTGAAAATTCCAAGACCAAACATGAAAATTCCAGAGCATTAAAGAAATTTGAAAGTTCATTCATTAATCCAAAACATTCATTAACCCACTACAATTCAAGAAAAAAAGTGAGGAACTAATAAAGAATTGCAAGGGGGAGACTTCCTAACCTGAGTATCTACTTGAGAAGCAAAATTAAAAAAATCTGAGACAGAAGGATAAAAAGAAAAACACAATTAGTTAGAGCATTCCTCAACACTAAAAATGTACACGGATCTATTTTCATGTTTGACGAATAAGAATATGACCATTGATGATTAATGAGAACCTTTGATTAAGACGAAATAAAAATGATTGTTGACATGAAATATAACTGTAAGAAGGTAGAATGAGATTTAATAATTGCCATAAAGAAAAATTAATTGACATAAAATTAACAATCTCATAACATATTTTAGTTAACAGCCTACTTTAAGAAGCTCATCATTGCATGAATATCACAGATGGGAAAATTGAACTACTATAGGATAGAAGACAAATTATAATTTTTTAATGTTTTCAATATACATTAAAAAGGATAGAAGAAAAATTAAATACTCTCATAAAAATCTACATCATTTTTCTCTATTGGCCAAAATGTAGAACTATTGCAATACATGATCTTGCTGTTGATTCTATATAGTAATTTTGCATTGACAACAGTTAAATTCTTATGGATTGTATTGCCCATTTTTCCTATTAACAACTAATGAATAAAAAATATAAATTATACTACTTATG